AAAAATTACCAAATTAGGCCGGGCGCAATGGCTCACATCTTTAATACCAGCACTTTGGGAGGCCAAGGCGGGAGGATCCCTGGAAGTCAGGAGTTCTAGACCAGCCTGGCCAACATGGTGAAACCCTGTCTCTATCAAAAAGACAAAAATTAGCTGGGTGTGGTGGCATATGCCTGTAATACCAGCTACTTGGGAGGCTGAGGCAGGAGAATCACTTGAACCCAGGAGGCAGAGGTTGCAGTGAGCAGAGATCACACCATTGCACTCCAGCCTGGGTGACAGGCTCCATCTCAAAAAAAAAAAAAAAAAAAGCAAATTAGATTTCCTATTTAGATAAATAATTTACAATATGAAGAAAATGAATTACAGAACGATAACATTGAGGCCAAAGTAAAAGACACTGACCATAGTCAAGTCTCGATTATAGGAACAAGGTCGTTAGGCACACAGCCCTTTGCTTTTCTTTCTATTCAATAACTTTCTTTTGAGCAGTTCAGAACTCATTATAAAAAGAAGCAAGTCGGCTGGGCACAGTGGCTCCCGCCTGTAATCCCAGCACTTTGGGAGGCTGAGGCAGGCAGATCACCTGAGGTCAGGAGTTTGAGACTAGCCTGGCCAACATGGCGAAACCCTGTCTCTATTAAAAATATAAAAATTAAGCGGGTGTGGCGGCGTGTGCCTGTAATTCCAGCTACTCGGGAGGCTGAGGCAGGAGCATCACTTGAACCCAGGAGGCAGAGGTGGTAGTGAGTCGAGGTAGCGCCACTGCACTCCAGCCTAAGTGACAGAGCAAGACTCCATCTCAAAAAAAAAAAAAAAAAAAAAGGGAAGCAAGTCGCTGAACCACAAAACCATCAATGACTATACCTGTTCATAGCTTTGGTAAAAGGTTTTATGGAAAAAGTAGAAAGAGAAGAGAAATAATCACAATTAACTTTCATATCTGTGAAATTCATTTAACCTAGACCTGCTCTGTGGGAGGAAAGAGGGAAAAAGGAATCCAATGGCAGCAGCACTGGCTGTCAGTTCTGCTCAAGTTGCCTTTGAGTGACCCCCCTTTTGTGAACCAGCAATTCTCCCTCCCCAAGCTGGCATTCCCAACAAGCACACATTCTCCTGCCTCTCCTGAATTGGAAAAAGGGAAATCTAACATTATGTAATTGCCTGCTTCCTGCAATTTAAACTTAGGCATACTACAATCCTAATTAGAGGGAGAACTCAGTGCAACATGACAAGCAACAAATTGGAAATCTACAGGCTGAAGTTTCTCATCCCAGACTTCCAGAGGCGAAGAGAAATGGCTTCACCTGACTTTGTGGCACACCCACCAACACACTACTACTTACTACGGGCCAGCTAAAGAAGCCCCTGACATCCCTCCATGTCATTTTGGTGTCATCTCTCTATGCCTTTAAGAAAACACGCTGTTCTGTTTGCAGATGGGGTTATCTTACTCTCTCCAGGCCAGAATAAAAGGAGAAAATGGTTGTTGACTGGGGAACATTACCTACCGTTAAAAGATCTGCCCTAAAAAAAAAAAAAAAAAAAAAAAAAAAAAAAAAAAAAAAAAGATCTGCCCTGATGGTTTTTTGTACCCTCATGATCACAAACCAAATCAACCAAATCACTGTGTTGTTCTGTCCCTTATGCAAATCATCCATGTTTAAAAGACCCAGAAGCCACAAATCTTGCCCATGCTTCTAAGACTCACTTCAGAGCTCATCAACAATTCACTGAAAAAAATGAATGAGCTAGCATCTAAGAATAAATAAAGCATCTAAGAACTTAAATAAGACCTTTGAAAGCAAGGTGTCATCAAAGTGTGTGGGTTTTGTTTTTGTTTTTGATTAGCTGGGCACAGAAAAAAACTAACAGCAAAAATTCAATGAGGCCAATTTTTTACACCAAAAAAGTAGAAGTGCAGCAGGTAGAAGGTCGGATTGTCAATCTCCAGGGATAGTGGAACACCCTTATTTTACTGCATCTGTCTGTAGAATAAGACCCAAACTTCTGTGTGAGCACTGGCAGAATACCACAATGCTTATTCCTCCCGGGAGAAGGAAATCCCCTCACCTCAAGAGCGTTCACCAAACCGGCAGGGAAGTTTCTTCTCTGCTGGCTCAGATTACTCTACTGGAAGGTAGGGTGGCACAACATAAATCAGCCCCATTTTCAACAGGAAGCTCTACATGTTCCTGTTTTATGTCCTGTTTTATCTCTCCACCTGACTAACACCTCCAGCCCCAATCTCTGGTTACCCTTATGTGTCGCTGAGAAAAAAGGTCTAAAATTCAGTTGGCCATGGTCCAGAAACAAAAATGGTACACCTAATTTCTTCTGCAAATGGAAATGAGTTTTAAAAAAGAAGAAAAAGACAAACCAAAATAAACTGAGTTTAGCTTTTCTAAAGAGCTAAAGAGTACATTATGCTCTGAGCTAATAAAGATTTCTTTAAAAATGAAACAAAATAAAAAAGCCTACAGGCTCTACTATGCAGAAACTTTAACTCATATTTTCTTTTTCCATAATTTTGTCATTTGAGTAACTATGAAGCTTGGTTACCAAACACTATATCAATGTTGTTTTCATAGCTTTACAACCTTACCATAGATTGTTCGTTTCCTTAAGTTCTGCATCTCCTCATTTTGGATATTTAATAAATACTGAACTCTTAAGTGGGGGGAGAAAGCAGTAAAATTTTAACATAACAGGTTCTAAGGTAGGGAAAAAAAAAACAGAAAATAAACAAATATAATTAAATATGGACACCTGTCTTCCAATCACTGCCCAGTTATTAACCAGTTCTACAATCTTCAACAAATCACTTCCACTTTCTGGGCTTCAGTTTCCTCATATGTAAAATGGGAAACATGAGCCAAATGAGTCAAAATCCCTCCTAGTTCCAACAATCCATGAATCTGTCCAACAAAAAGTAAGAAAACCCTATTACAAATAAGACTTTATAGTTTACAAAGTACTTTCATACATATATTCTCATTAATTTTTGTAGCTCATCTGTGAAGCAAGTTTTGAGCCCATCTCTGCAGGAAACAACAATAAAGTTCAGAAAGAAGTTCAATTATTTTTCAGTATCTCACAACGAAAATGGCAGGGCAGGTATCTGAAACCCACACCTTCTGAGGACAAATAGTAGGCTACATTATTTCAAAATGTTTAAATATATTACAATTCAAAAATAATTGCCTATTATGTATAACCTTTATGGGGGCATCAGGATACCATAACTCCATGCCAGGAAATATTACTACAAATGGTCCCACTGGACTACAAGTTCCATGCGGCCAGGTACACTCTTTTGCTCATCACTGGAATCACAGAAACCAAAAATGCACCTGCCAGATAGCAGCAATCAATAAATATTGCTTGACTCACCACTCAAAAGGTTAGGAATATAGGGATGCAATGGGGAAAAAAGGAATTTCTGAATTTATTTTCAGATTTGAACTTCCATGATTTGATCCAAAGGGGAAAAAAAAGTGTGCTCTATCAGAGCTCTAGTTCTTTATTATGGGAATGAGTCTATTTGTCTTCCATAGAGAAAATCTAATATGGTCAGTGAACCAAAAGGCTTAAATCTGAGATGTCACAAAAAAATCTTCAGGATATTCATACTTTATTTGTGCACTGATACGGACCAATAACAATGATAATACAATGGTAAGGACTGATAAGAGGCACATAGTCATATTATTAATTATAACAAACTTTCCACCAAATTCCACTCTCATACCATTTCAGCTCTCCTCATGCTCCCATTTCACAGCTCAAAGAGATTTTTGAAAAAAAGAAAAACAGTCATTTATCTAAAAATTCAGACTGCAACTTAACATAGAACATATACACATCACAACTCAACCAAGATTCCCCCAAAGTCTACAAAACTGCTAATCCCAAGCAATCCTCAATCTATGACTTCAATAAACTTACTAGAAGGTGTTTTTAAAAGTTCCTAAACAATCAAGGTGGGGGCACTATACCAAAATTACACACATACTTCAAAGCAAAAGCAAAGCAAATGCAGAAGCCTGAAAATACTAGTGAAAGGGCAGAGACAAATGAAGAGTTAAATGAATCTCAATACAAAGTATCAGAGAGCTGCTTTGCAATTATTACCTGGAGTTCAAGTCAACCTTGCCATTGAATCCTCCAATGAAATCACAACTATCACTGACTGATACTTCAGATTTTAAAAGTTCACTGTACCAGAACTGCAATTTCAAAATCGAGGAGCAGAAGCAGGAACTGCAGAGAAGCTAACAACAGCAACACCTACTGACTGTCTCAAGCCACTCACCAAACTTGTTCTCTCAGTCAACTAGAAAAATCAAATGACAGTCAACTTCAAGAGTCCTTTACTTAAGCATTAATGAGATAAGAAAATTAGTTGTCAGAGACATAAAGTCATTCATCCCCCAAATCTCTTATTTTGCCTCTAACCATTTATGTGGAAACAATCACTCATCATTTTAAATGCACTGTTAATTGTTAATGCTGTAACATAATTGATTCCATGGGAAAATGTTTTAATATTAATATTGTAGTTAATAACTGGGATGTCATCTAATAGTTGGACACATCAGTGACCGTAATAAACTAGCTGAGACCTACTGCTATTACCACTGTTCCATATTATCCTTTTTTTAATCCTGGTAAAGGTAGCTTAATTGCAGCTTTCAAAAAACGAAGAGAAAAATGAAAGTCGTTAAATCAGGATTATACAGAAAATTAATACTATTACTAAACTGGCCGCAGAACTCAGTATGATCTAACCTTGTACATTTCCAAAAGATTCGGTCAGAGAATCTTTGCCTTGGACGGATACTCCATAGGAGAAAACAGGAGAAAGTTGACACTTAACTCCCACAGAGTACCAGCATAAAAACAATGGCTTTAAGAGTCTGACTCAGAGTTTCAACATGAAAGGTTTGCTTTATAGAGGAAACGCCAATCCCAGTCCATCCAGATAGACCTGGAACCTGATGAAAGTCGACACCTTTACTCTGAAATTTGCATCGCATCGCTGGCTCCAGTTTAGAAACATGATCGTTTCACAGGTAGTATGCATTTCAGTGAATGCTGCCTCTAAACTACCCGTCAGCGAAAATAAAATCTGTAAGGTAAACGTAGTCTAGGAGCCATCAATCCCCAAATGCTTCCCTTAGAAAACGAATGCCAACAATTCAGCTAAACATCTTCATTGAAAGTGAGCCATTTCCCATGTCTCTCTGTTTTCCAAACCGCGATGAAATTTCAACCTGCCCAACACGATTACTGGTCCACCTAGAAATGCCGTGGAGCGATTTTTTAAGAGCCTCGGAAATTTCCTTTAAGGTCAGGAGAGAAGCTGGTAACAGATGGGGCGAAGGAGGAAAAGTTCTTTTTGCAGCACCCTCGCGCCTCCCCAGCCCTTTCGCGGTTTACTCGCTCCCTGGAAATCAGGTTACAGCATCCCAAAATTTCATGTCCCCAAGACCCCCAAAGGGGAAATTAACCACCCTCAGGCACCCAGCTGTTTGTCTCCATTTCCCACAACTCAGCCAACTCGGCCTGCCTACTACTCCAGCTCAGGCTGCAAAGCGCTCACCCAGGTGACTGGAAAGGAAGGGTCGCCAGGTGGCGACCAGCTCAGCGGGGTGGACGCAACCGCCCGGACGGGGACGCGGGTCTCCTGGCCTCCCGCAGAGGCGCCTGCCCCGTAGTTGTGCAGATTCGGGTTCTGGAGTGTGTGCGCGCGCGCCGGGCGCGGTAGAGCCGGACTCGCCCCCGCCAGGTTGCGCTATCAGCAAGCCACCAAATCGAAAATCAAACTTTAACCGGCCTCCTGGGGTCCTGCTCCGGGCCCTGGACCCCAACCCCGGCCAGAAACAGGGCAGGGGGCTGTCAGCGGTCCTGCACCCCCACTACCCCCAGGACCCGGGCGCGGGGACCACTTACCGCTCGGCCCGGCCTCCCGGTGCCGCCGCGCGTCCCGGGCGCGTCCGCCGCGCGCTCTCCCTGGGGAGAAAGAGAAACCGTGTAGACGGCCGGCGCGCGCTCACTCGCCGCCTCCTCTGCGGAGAGCGGCGAGGCCGGGCCGGGGCGGGCGCCGAGCGCGGAGCGGAGGGGGGCCCGAGGGAGGCGGGGGTGGAATCAGCCCAATTCCCGAGCCTGGCTCCGAGGGGGACCCGGAATGCAGGCTGGCGGGCGGCCGGCGGGGGCCGAGCTCCCGAGGAGAAGGCGGAGGTGGCCCCGTCCTCAGGCATCAACTATTGTCTAGGAGCCCGGGCCCCGGCTCGCGCCGTCCCCGAGGCTCAGCGCCCCCCATCCCGCCCGCCCGCAGGAGAAAAAACTGAGGGGGCGCCCAATACGGGAAGCAAGTGCCGGGGTCCGGGCTCCGAAGGTCCGAGATTGGCGCAAGGTACGGGGGGATGGGGGGTGCGTACCGCGTGGGGGAGGGGACAGGTAAGTGCCTACGGGGGCGAGAAGGCCCCGAGGACCAGTGGGGGAGGAAATGGGGAGGGAGCTACAGAGGCGGGAGAGGATGGAGTGGCGGTGGGGGCGGCCTCTGGGGCCCAGACCTGGCCCTCCCCGGGGACCCTCCAGCCGGGGACTCGGCGCTGCACTGACTTTTCGCTCACTCGCTCACGCACGCACTGAACTAGCTCACAAAGTTGCCGGCAGTGGCGGCGCCTCACTCGCCCTTCCCCTCCCCGGCCCGCCTCCCGCCCCATTCCTTCCCCTCCTTCACTCCTCCCTCTCCCCCAAGTCTCGGGTGAGATCACCACAGAGCGGCTCCGCACTGCGCGCAAGTCTCGCGAGAGAAGCGGCGGCTGGGCCTTGCGGGCGGAGGAAGTGGAAGAAGTCGCGGGGGGGTAGGGGACCGCGGAACTTCTGGTTGCTATGACGACGGCAAAGCCCTGGATTCCTGTCTCCTGCGGAGAGCAGAGGCTGCAAACGTGGGTGCAGTTTTCAACCTGCCTCGCGCACTGGCGGTGGGGAAAGCTAGGGATGGTTGCGGCAGGATAATTTTTAAACCGATTCAAGAGGGCATCTCTAGAAGACCACGGTCAAGATACCTGGCCAAATTTGGCAAATGAGGTTAATGTATTAAGAGGTTCTGGGACAGGTTTCTGCCTAAGAGCCAGCACATATCTGCAGCCCAAATTTCTACCATATATTCAGTTTTTCAGCCTTTTCTTTCAATCTCATTCCTCCACCCCCACATCCCCCATGCTCCCTCCCTCCTTCTCTTCTCAACTCGCACACACACCCAGACTAGGCTCCTTCACGAACTGGCTCATTCATCTCTGTATTCTCAGCGACTCCGCAGGCTTGGTCCATACTAGGTATTGGCTACTTTTTTAAAAAGTTGAACGCAACAGTCCATACCTGTCCTCAGTACTTGCCTTTGGGCCTACCCTAAAAAGTACAGTCAAGTTTGGACTCTTATTATAAACTACCCTCCCATCTCTGTTAACACCTTGTCTTTTTCAATGGTAATAATCTCTGCTTTCTCCACATCTTCCTCATAAAAACCCTATTCACCTTTTTTTTTTTAAATCATTAGGCATCCTCAGGCGCCGTTATAACTACTCCAAAATGCTATTAAGGATGAAGATGAACTCTTTTCAGGCCTGTGTCTTCTTTTAACTGTAGAAACTTTTCTGAAGTGAGGGTTATTATATACTCACTGCCTAAGTCAAATGGATATTGTGAACAGAAGTTAAACTTTAGATTTCAAAATGAATGAGTAAAAATAGATTCCATGGTATGTGGATTATATCTCAACTTTTAAAATTCCTATCCATGAACATGGGAAAACCATTATGTAACTCAGTCCCACAGAACTAGAAACCTAAAGCATGAACCTAAGCATATGAGGACTAGGCAGTCAAAACTTTTCAGTCACTTGCAAGTTTAAATCCTGTCAATGAAAGTGTATGTATGAGAAACCTAGGTGATACTAGACAAAGTCAGGAAACTAGGGTTTAAGTTTTTCTGTGCCACTAATAATTGAGTCTCCTTGAGAAGTTATTTAATCTCTCTGATTGTTCCTCTGTGGGGGATACCCCACATGTTAGGTTATTACAGCTTTAAAATTCCATAGCTGGCCGGCATGGTGGTTCACATGCGTAATCCCAGCACTTTGGGAGGCCCAGGTGGGAAGACTGCTTGAAGCCAGGAGTTTGAGACTATCCTGGGCAACACAGAGAGACCCTGTCTCTACAAAAATAAAAAATATTAGCTAGGTATGTTGACATGCACCTGTAGTCCCAGCTATTCAGGAGACTGAGGCTTCAGAATCACTTGAGCCCGGGAATTAAAGGCTGCAGTGACCTCTGATCACACTACTGCACTCCAGCCTGGGCAACACAGTGAGATCCTGTCTCTAAATATATATATATACATATGTGTGTGTTTGTGTGTATATATATATTTCATATAAGAGCTCTTAGACCTATAAAATTTTCCAAGGAATAACAAATCTTCCTTTTACAGCAAATGACAAAACAGTTTGATTTTATCGGTCAGTTTCACAAAGAGTAGCTACATGTTGACAATTTTATTTAAATGTTGACAATTTTATTTCAAAATTTCCCTTGTCTCAACTACAAAGGCAACAAAAATATTGACCACGTTACAGTAATTTCAAAGGTAATCTACAGTTCATGATTTGCTTTTACACTAATTCAAAGCAGATTCCTTGTTATTTAATAAATATTCTAATTAAAACCAAAGACCCAAACTAAATACATCCATACTCCCAAAATAACTATAAGGAAAGAAGGAGGGAGGGAGGAAGGAAAAGAAGGAAGGAAAGAAGGAAGGAAGGAAGGAAGGAAGGAAGGCAGGCAGGCAAGAAAGATCGAAGGAAGGAAGGAAGGAAAGAAGGGAGAGAGGGAGGGCAGGCCTCAGATTCATTTACTGGTATGTTTAATATATTTTCACAAAGAAACACAATGGAACATCACCATCAGTCCTGTGAATCTGTTTTAAGAAACCATTTTTCATAACATTGCAAAATATTATAAATCAGTTGTTGCTCATTTGTTCTGGCTTAGCTTTTAACATAATTTTGCCCTTAAAGGATGGCTGCCAATCTACATCCACCAACACAGTACAATTTCAGGGCCATCTGTTTTATGACTCCCAGATAGCCATTTGAAATAATTGACCCAAATGCTAGCCAAATCTATTAACATTCTTCAGTGCTTCTTATAAGGCTCAAGAGATGGGTGTTGGCCTCAAATTACAAAAATAACTTCCCTAATCTTCAGACATAGTAAAATACTAGAAATTGTCCCAGGGATCTAAAACTGCTTTTTCAAGGCCCTGGGCTACTATTTATCCCTTACTGATGGCAGAACTTTCATCCTTGTTTCTAAAGGAGATAAAAAGTGAAAGCTACCAAAGCCTAGTTTTCAACTGCACATTCTCTAGGTCAGTCACTCCTGCTGTATCCTCCTGACCTTCCTAGGGTTTCAAAATAGCAGATGTCAGGCAGCAGAAGGGGGAAAGGAGGAATGGAGAGTTTGCCAAGAGCACAGACTAGATCTCAGTCCACTTCCTGTCCACTCTCTTTCTTGGCTTCTCTACCCATCTCTGCTCAATCCCTTCCCTTTGCCCTCCAACACAAAGGATATGTAACCTTTCTAGTGATAAGAACATCTAGTCATTTACTATGTTACTCCCTTCCTATTTGCTTCTTAGTTTGTTAAAACCCAGGTGAATCCATTTCTCTCTGGTTATTCTACCCCACAAAACACCCTAATGTATAGAATATACCAAATATAGAATGAATTTTGACACAGAGGCCTACCATACAAAGAAATTGTATGTATTTTTTAATGTTATAAACACTGACTCACATTTGCATGTTTTACATTTGAAATCTGATTTAACTGGCCTTTTAGTTCAGAACTCCAGTAGCTGTATATCTACAGGGCATTATTCTAAGTGATATTTAGAAAGATTATTCTGAATCATTACAAAGATCCGAAGTGCCCTCAAAATTATTCAGGATTAAGTGATATCCCATGTTGTTTCAATTTTAGGGTTTTATTGTTTTAACCTTATTGGTGTGACTGTTTACGTGAATACTGGATTCCTTAGAAAATGCCTCTTCTCTCATTTACATAGTAGTATTCATTACTAGTTTAAAACACCAAGTACTTTATAACCAATTAACATTCTTTTAATCAATTAACAGCACAACTGCTATACTTCCCTGTACTGTTCCCTCCTCTTTAAAGGACTATTTCACACCTTCTCCTCCTTAAACCTCTCCTAGTACTTCCAGCTAATGGCCTTGCTCCCTCTTTTGTTGGTAAAATAGAAATAATCAGAAGAGAACTGAATACACATACCCTCTCTACCACTCTATCTACCAGCCTACCCGCATCTGTCTGCATATACTCCTCTGTCCTTCCTGTCACTTATGAACTCTCGGTGCTCTTAGCCGAGATTAGCCTCTAGATCTGTGCATTAGTGCCATCGCCTCTAACTCAGGGACATTGATTCAGCAACTGTCGCCACTCTCTGTTGAATCAGCAAATTTTCCTTCTCTACTGCTTCACTTCTAAGGGTTTACAAGCATACTGGAATATCTGCCGTGGTAAAAAGTAAAATGCTTCCTAGATTTTTATGTCTCCCCCTGCTTCATTTTATAACTGGAATCTTCAAAAGGCTCTTCCATGCTTGATGTCTTCAATTCCTATCCTTCCCTTCCCTTGAATCCACTCCAAGCAGGCTTTTACCCCCACTACTCCACAGCAACAGGTCTTCTCAGGGGCATCAGTGACTTCCTCATTGCTAAATCTGGTGCTCAACTTCCAAGCTCACCTGGCTGGAGCCCTCAGCAGCAGAGAAGAAGGCAACCATGTTGGTTCTTGAAATGTTTTCTTCCCTTGTCTTCTGAGCCAAGAGTCGATCCTAGTTCTTATTCTACCTTTCTGGTCTTGAACTTCTCAACATAGGAGACTGCAGGACTCAGACTTCGGACATCTCTTTGTGGTCTCTTTTCACTCTGTGGTAAGCTCACCAGTCTGATAGTTTTAAATAACATCTGTACATTAAATACTTCCAAATTTACACCTCCAGGCTAGTCATCTCCCCTGTCTCCAAATTTGTACATCCATCTGCTACTCAACATCTGCAACTGATTATGTACTAGGTATTTCAAACTTCATATATTTAAAATTGATTAGCTCCAAGTATTCCCTGCAAAGCCAGTGCCCTTCTGAACTCCAGATATCCCTCTCAAAACCAGTTCCCTTTGGGAGGCCGAGGCGGTTCGATCACAAGGTCAAGAGATCAAGACCATCCTGGCCAACATGGTGAAACCCCATCTCTACTAAAAATACAAAAATTAGCTGGGTGTGGTGGCGTGTGTCTGTAATTCCAGCTACTCAGGAGGCTGAGGCAGGAAAATCATTGGAACCTGGGAGGTGGAGGTTGCAGTGAGCCGAGATCAAGCCACTGTTCTCCAGCCTGGCAACAGAGTGAGACTCTGTCAAAAAAAAAAAAAAAAAACCACTTCCCTCCAGCAGTCGTCCCCATCTCCGTTAAGGGTATCTTCCCAGAGGTTCAGAGGTTTTGTTCAGAGCAAAAGTCTTGGAATCGTCTTTGACTCCTCTATTTCTCTCACATCCAAACTATCAACAAATTCTGATGGTCCTTTCTTCAAAATATGTGTAGAATCCAATCACTTCCACCCACTGCAGCTCCACCTCTCTGATTCAAGCCATTTCTCACCTGGATTATCACAATTGTCTCCCTACTGGTCTCCCTAGTTGGTTTCCCTACTCCTGCTTTTCCCCTCAAATCATTTGTTCTATACACAGCATCCAGAGTATGGAGCATGAGTAAGTCTGATCTTGTCACTTCTCTGCTCACAAAGCTTCCAGGACCTCTCACCTCACTCGGAGAAAAAGCCCCGGTTCACATTCTGGCCCAGAGAGCTGTATACTCTTCTGACTCCCAATCCCTCTCTCTCCCCTCCCTCTTTCTACCCCAGCCACACTGGCATTCCTGCTATTCTTTGACTACACCTGGTGCTCTACTGCCTCCAGGACTTGCATGTGCTCTTTCGTCTGCCTGGAGAGCTCTTTCCCCAAATATCTGCATGATGCACTTTCTGGGTCTGTTTAGATGTCTGTACAGAGGTAACTGTGTTGGTAATCTGCCTGCTTGCTCTTGGGAGCTCTTTCTTGTCCTGCTCTACCTTGCAGTAGGGCTGACCCCCATGGGCCGTGTTTTCAAGGATGCCTTGTCAGGGGCTTCCAGCTGGTTTCAACCATCAGGATGCATAACAGGAATTTGGACAGATGGAATAGACAAGTGAAAGCCATTCTCCTCCTCTCTGTTTGTGCTTCAGGCAGAGTTTTAGCAGCAAGTGCATTTCCTCCATGGCCCCAGGTTCCACTGGGTGAGAACCATCCCCAGGCTCTGATATAACTTCAGCTGGAGGGTGATACTAGGTTCCTGGTGTTAAGAATCCTGGCTGGGTGCGGAGGCCCATGCCTGTAATCCCAGCACTTTGGGAGGCCGAGGCGGGCAGATCACCTAGGGTCGGGAGTCAGAGACCAGCCAGACCAACATGGAGAAACCCCATCTCTACTAAAAATACAAAATTAGCCAGGCGTGGTGGCACATGCCTGTAATCCCAGCTACTCGGGAGGCTGAGGCAGGAGAATCACTTGAACCTGGGAGGCGGAGGTTGCAGTGAGCCGAGATCAAGCCATTGCACTCCAGCCTGGGCAACAAGAGCAAAACTCCATGTCAAAAAAAAAAAAAAAATCTCTGGATTCCCTCATCACCCTGGTTAATTTATCAGCTCTTCCATCCACCATGTAGTTCCCCTGTATAAAAATTCTCTCATTTTGGCCAGGCACGATGGCTTATGCTAGTAATTCCAGCACTTCGGGAGACTGAGGAGGGCGGATCACTTGAAACCAGGAGTTTGAGACCAGCCTTTGCAACATGGCCAAACTCCGTCTCTACTAAAAATACAAAATTATTAGCTGGAGGCTGAAGTGGGAGGATCGTTTGAGCCCAGGAGGTCGAGGCTGCAGTGAGCCAAGACTGCACCACTGCACTCCAACCTGGGTGACAGAGAGAGACCCTGTCTCAAAAAAATAATAAAATAAAATAAAAAATAAAAATTCCCTCTGTTTGAATGACCAGGAACAGCTTCCATTCTCCTAACTAGACCTTGATTGTTATAGTTACCCTTTACAAAATAGCAATCACCCCAATCTCATACTCCCCACGCAGCTCTATTGCTCTCTGAAGTCTATCACTCCCTCACGTATTATCTAATCATTTGTTGGTTTATTGTCTGTCTTTCATCTAGAAGGTAAGATCCCTGAGGGCAGGAACTCTATGTCTGCTTTATTCACTGCTGTATTCCCAGCACCTAGAACAGTGCCTGGCACATAGTAGGCACTCAACACATGTTTTTCATATAAGCAAATAGTGCTCATTCAGACAAAATAAAACTGCTAGCAGAGTGTGGTTAAGAGAATACCCCTACCCTCCAAGATGTCCACATCCTAATCCTCAAAACCTGTGAATATGTTACTTTATGTGGCAAGAGTTTTTATAAAGATATGATTTAAGTTAAGGATCTTGAGATAGGGGGATTATCCTAGATTATCTAAGTGGGCTCAGTGTAACCACAAGGTTTTCATAAGAGGGAAGTAGAAGAGTCAGAGTTAGACATGGACATGTAACCACAGAAACAGAGTCAGAAAGAGATCTGAAGATCCTACATTACTAGCTTTGACAATGGAGGAAGAGACCATAAGCCAAGGCATGTAGAAAACCTCTAGAAGCTAGAAAGGCAAGAGAAACAGATTCTCCCCTATAGATTTCTTAAGGAATGCAGCCCTGCCAATGTCTTGATTTTATCCAAATGAAATTCATTTCAGACTTCTGACCTCCAGAAATGTAAGACAATAAAATGGTGGTGTTTTAAGCTACAAATTTGTGATAATTTGTTACAGCAGTAATAGGAAACTAATAGTGTTTAATCAGGTATGTAAGCTCTTTGTAGTCATAATGTGTGTCTTGTTTGCTCTGAAATACCTACAATTTAATACAGTTCCTGACAAAAATAGGCACTCCATAAATGTACAATGAAAGAATGAAGTTTAACAGCAAAGCAGTATCAGGGCTCCCATTCTGATGGAGTGGAAAATCCCTTACCTGGCTTTCTGGCTCAGAAAACACCTTGATATTAGGAAGCCTTTGTGAGCTTTTTGAGCTATGAAGATATAGGGGTATAGGGTAGAGGCAATCCGTGTCTTACACACCAATGTCAGCTAGAGAGTATGTGGACAAGTCACAAGGGCCTTGTGTGATATATTCAGGACTTGGGCTTTATTCTGTAGTCAATAGGGAGCCATTGAAGGATTTTCATCTAGGGTGGAAACATTCAAATTTGCATTTACAATGCATAGAATATTAGAAGCATGGGATTTAGAAATCCATGGGTTGGAGAAGAGATTAGAACTGCAATCACAAATTCGGCAAGCAGTAGCTTTTAATTGCTAATATGATGCATTTAGATAACTTTTTTTTTTTTTTTTTTTTTTTGAGAAGGAGTTTCACTCCTGTTGCCCAGGCTGGAGTGCAGTAGTGCAATCTCACTCAGCTCACTGCAACCTCCGCCTCCTGGATTCAAGCGATTCTTCTGCCTCAGCCTCCCAAGTAGCTTGGATTACAGATGCCTGTCACCATGCCTGGCTAATTTTTTTTTTTTTTTTTTTTAGTAGAGATGGGGTTTCTCCGTGTTGGTCAGGCTGGTTTTGAACTCCTGACCTCAAATGATCTGCCCGCCTCAGCCTCCCAAAGTGTTGGGATTACAGGCGTGAGCCACCACGCCCTGCCTAGATAACATTTTAATTAAAATGCACCCTCACAAACTTTCTTTCCTTGTCATAGGCATTTTCTTTTGAAACATTTTGCATTAAGCTACTCATGCCTTCCCTGGGTTTTCAGGCAATTTTCTTGTAAATATGGATAAAATAAAATGAAATAAAAATCCCCAAAAGGATGAAAAATTCTGGCCCACCAATACTTTTGACCTTTTCCTCTATACTATAGACATCAACACATGCTATTACAGTTATAATATTCTTTTTTTTTTTTTTTTTGAAATGGTTTGCTTTATCACCCAGGCTGGAGTGCAGTGGCTCGATCTCAGCTCAAGCAATTCTCCTTCCTCAGCCTCCCAAGTAACTGGGATTACAGGTGCCTACCACCACGCCCAGCTAATTTTTGTATTTTTAGTAGAGACAGGTTTCACCATGTTTACCAGGCTGGTCTCGAACTCCTGACCTCAGGTGATCCACCCACCTCAGCCTCCCAAAGTGTTGGGATTACAGGCATGAGCCACTGCAACCCAATTTTTATATATATATATATATATATATATATATAGCCTCTGAACCATTTCGAGATTTTTTTATTCATCCTACCATTAATATTTCCTTTTAGGAGCTCTTTGAACCATTTAAAATAACTTCAATATTCTCTTAGGAGCTGGAAATTTCCTTCCAAACAGCCCTTTCCCCTTTATTCCTTTCATCAGATTTCACAGTAGAGAAGGTGTCAAGGAAGGAAGGTGAATTTTAAAAGTCTTCTCTCTACTCTCTTGTCTTTTTAAAATCCCTAGAAATGAAAAGTGGCTTGCTCATGACTTGGAAGCGGTGGGCTGAGGCCTCCCAAGACCATCTGGCTTGTTCCATTGCCAGCCAGAGTGGAGGCGACATTCACACGAACCCAGGAGCTGCAGGGGCGCGTGAGCTGCAGCTGCCTTGTGGCATCCAAGGAGCGCGCAGTGAGATTCCGCAGGAGAAATCACGCTTTGCATGTTCTTGAGTACAAGAAACATGTGTAAAGAGGGTTTTTGTTTGTGGGCATGCCAAGGAGAACGACTGGAATATTAAAGCCATCACAACCTTTATTTAAGGGAAAAGAGGACAAGAATGAATATGCTGATAGTTCAGAGATATTTAGGACCTTCGGCAGCTCAGCACTCATCCTAAATTTTTACAAATAGCTTTCCGGAGATGAAGCTTTTAAAAGCCTTTTAAAGGAATTTTATTTGTTCTTTTCACGTTGGGAAAAGTGATGAGTATTATCTACTCAGGTATGAGAAATGGCCAAGGCCACTCCATGTAATGTTTTACTTATCCTATAGCTACACAAAGAAAATAGAACGAGTGTTGTAGAGGAAAATCTACTAGACCTCAAGCCCGGCTTGAAATCAATTCTGTACTCTAATTCAGACTCTGTCTTTAGCTAGCTGAGTCAGATAAATTATTTAATTTTCTGAACTTCTCGCTTCTCTTTCTTTTTTTCTTTTTCTTTTTCTTTTTCTTTTTTTTTTTAAGACTGGGTCTCACTCTGTTGCCCAGGCTGGAGTGCAGTGGCGCAATCTCGGCTTACTGCAGCCTCTGCCTCACGGTTTCAAGTGATTCTCCAGCCTCAACCTCGCAAGTAGCTGGGATTACAGGTGTGCACCACCCACCCAGCTAATTGGACTTCTCTTTCTTTAAATACAAAAGGAGAGGGCTAAGAGGCCATCCCTCCAGACTAAAAGTTTGTATATTGATGTGTTATCCTCTTTCAATAGTCAGTTTGCTTCTGGTCAAGAATCTTTCAGGGGTCTGTTTGCTCTTGGTCAAGAATCTGAGGTCTAGACTTTTGCTCAGAGTTGCTGAACCTCTCTCCCTTCCCGTTTGTTTTACTCTTCTTGGGATGATCTCTACCTTCTTCTCCCCTCTCCTGTCCCTACCACACCCCATTATACAACCCCATGTGAAATATCAAGGGTGACCATAACTCACTGGTAGGATGGAGAGGGATAAAGACTTCTGAGCAATTCTCACAGGCACCTGCTGTTATCTGGTGCTGGCTGTGACTGGCACTGCTAGAGTGAATCTTGATGATTGCTTCTGGCATGGCCACCCAATACCAACTGTTCTTGTTGGCAGTGAAACTTTCAGGACTGCTGCTCCCAGCTGCTTCCTCTTAGAACCTCTTAGAACAGCCAGCTTCTAGGTCTCTGAGCTGCTGGGCAGTTCCTTTACTCATTCCATACTTCCTACAGAGGGCAGCATAAATCACAGTCTCTGCCAAGCATACGGAGTTGGGATCAACACCAGGACTCGGAATTGGCCTGTAGAATTTTTTCAAATTCCCCTAGCTTGGCGTGAGAGTATGGGAGCAAGAATGAACAGGTTAGGCACGGTGGCTCACACCTGTAATCCCAGCACTTTGGGAGGCCGAGGCAGGTGGGTATCTTGAGCCCAGGAGTTCAAGACCAGCTTAGGCAACATGGTGAAACCCTGTCTCCACTAAAAACACAAAAATTAGCCAAGGGTGGTGGCGCACACCTGTAATCCCAGCTACTCGGGACACTGAGGCAAGAGAATTGCTTGAACATAGGGGTTGGAGGTTGCAATGACCAAGATTGTTCCACTTCACTCCAGCCTGGGTGACAGAGCGAGATTCTGTCTCAAAAATATACATATACATACATACATATATATATATATATATGAATGGAGCCCTCAGCATCACACCTGTTGACCTTCACTTGAAGACAGTTCAGCATGGTGGAGTCAGATGGAGCGGGCCTCAAGTCCCATGCCCACCTCCAGCTTAGTAACAGAGTGGTTTTAGGAAAAGTTACTTAACTCCTCTAAGCCTTGGTTTCTTATTTTTCAAGTGGGAATAATAATGATTGCTTCATAAAAACACATGATTATTTTGAGGATTACGTAAGATCATACGTGTTTCATTAGATCCTGTGGACTGACTCTCTAGAGGCCATCCACAACTCCCTTTTCCCTTGCCCTCTGAGTCTTCCCTGAAGTCTCCAGAACTGGCTTAACATAAAATGGGGGCTTTACTCTGAAAACTGTGAGTTCCAAAAGATACCCAGTGGTAGAAATACAGTCCCATCTAAACTCCTCCATCACTCATGTGCTTCTCTCTCTCCATCTGCCGCTATCTACAGCATTCTTCTCTCTTTCTAAAGAATAGTTTCCTCCATTTTTCTGGTCCACATAGGGAAAACATCTCCTGAGCTCAATCTGAATTCAAACATCTCCCCAGTTTTCAAAATACCTGGGGAGAAAAGGAACTGACTGACACAGCTTTAAATCAGGTGCCCACCTCTAGACCAATCAGCTGTGACCAGGAGCCTGGAGGCACATTGCATAAAATGTCAAGGAGGAATCATGACAAGACTGAGGGGGTGGCAGTTCCCAGGGAAGAGAGCGGGCAGACAATAATAAATGTCTAGGGTGGAGGAATTACGTAAGAAGCATTAAGACTAGATTTCAGCCCTTAAGATTATAGTATAGTTGGGGAAAAGGCACAAACATTGTCTTCAGTTTAAATTTATTTTGATGCTGAGGGGGTTAATGTAGGGAAAAACCAAAACCATCAATAGTGATAGAAAAAAGCTTGTACCTCTTGAGGTCCAATCAGTGAAGTTCAACAGTGCAGTGGTGGAGGTGGAGTGAGAACTTCTCCCGTTTTCTCTGGAAGACATCTGCTCCTCAGGACTTTCTGCTCTTATGGAGCTCTAAGACCCATTCCTTGTATTGTATTGAAAGACAGGAAGCAAAAGCATTTATTTAAAAATAAAAAGTGGCTAGGAGACAGGTCTTGTCAGAGAAGGAAACCATTTAAAGCAGGATCTTTCTGCCCTAGGCAGGAATTAATGGAATGAAGGTGGATTTACTATACCTATGAAAGAGGTTACAAAGTAGAGTAAGACAGGATTAAGGAGCATAATTAGGGTTCATGAAAGGAAGATCAAGAAGTTGGGGACAGCCCCAGGAAGCCAGTGGATCTTAGCCCATGGGGTGAAGAAAGTAGAGAAGGGAGGAGTGTTCCTGGAGGGAGAAGAAGCAAAGGAATTGAGGATGTTGTGAACATGGCATATTTGCGGACAGTCACATTGTGCAAGAGAGTGCAGCAGTCCTTAAACTATGAGATTTTCAGTGAAAGCACCCGGAGTACGTATTATACCTAAAATATAGATTTCTCACCCCTGGTGCAGAGGTTCTGATTTCGTTGGTCTGGGGTAGGTCCCAGGATTGAACTTTACTAGGGCTGTGCTGCAGGGGGTCTGCAGAGGACAGCTTGAGAAACACTGGTATCTCCATTGGCACTACCTATTAATTAGACAAAAGAAATGGCTTCTCTTTTGGGGTATGTGTTTGGTGGGTGACAACAGCTAACTACCAGACTATGAAGTCCCCCCGATGGCCCAAGAGAGCTGCTATCAGCCTTTGCCACCAAGTCCACCAATTTGCCAGTGCCTCTTCCAGGGACTACTTTGTACTCTCAGCCTCCAGAGGTGCCACTTGATTACCAGCTGATTTGGCCTTCATCTCACATCCTGTGTGTTTTCACAGGATTACGCCCAGCTCAAGATGCAACAGAATCAGTCTAGATGGTGAATTCTTCTTAGACAATGTTGCTGTTTATATGTCTTGCTGATTCATTTACTTGTCTTTCATTATCTAATTATAGTTAATTTTTATATAAACTTAATAATCAGCATTTGTGTAATAGTAAAAGAGTGATTTGTTTACTTTAATCTAAAAAAAGAGGTTATGTGTTTGAAGAGTAAAATGTTTCTATTCCAAACTTCTCAAGAACTGGTACTATTTACTAATTGCATATTCTTTCTTTTTCCTTCTAAGCCACTTTTTATCTTCTATCCTGCAATCCAACCCACATAATTTTCATGAAGAAAGCGGAATGGTGTCATTTTACAACAAGAAAACTGAGTTAAGAATAAGTCCAATCAATTGCCAGGTGTTGGGACTGAAATGGAAGTCTCTTAGTACTCCACCCAAGGATTTTCATATTAAACAATTATCTTGTCATCATTTTATTTCTGAGTTATTCTCTTTAGTTTTTGTTCTCTTTGATATTCAGAAAAATTGAAAATGCTAATAACATGTGTTCTGGTCCCTTGAATCAGAAATTTCAAGTACACACAGAATGAATTTTCACTTACCCTCCTCCCCTGCGTGCTCAGATTTCTCTCATTCTTCATCCCGTCTGTATTTCTAGATGTTTTTGCAACTATATTTCTCAGAAGCTACCATTTGGGTGAGAAAGGAAATGCATCTACCCTCTGTCTTTATGTTCATTTAATCTAGTGGTTCTCACTCCATCATCACCATGAAGAGTCTTTTGGTCTTATATCTAATTTCCATCTAATCTCTTCTATTAGAAATGTTAGTTCTATCGAGTGATTAACTCTTCCAATAATCAGCAGAAAGAATTATGAAGGCTTAGTCCTCCTGGGTCTAAAGTGCTAGGTAGAATCCTATTTGAAATCTGTGTATCCTGAGGTTGATCAGGTTCCCTGGTCTATGCTGCCCAAGAACTCACAAAATGAGAAACGGCACTTACTGGCCACCACTAGCTGTGGTAAATCAGCCCAACTGTCCTCACATGTGTACCGTCCTGCTCTAGTCAGGTGAACAGTAGCTATGAACACACCAGTTGATCTCTCGGGTGCTGAATAGTATACATGGAGCCCCCATCAGGATTTTGTTCTGGTTATTTATGGTTATATAACAAAGTAATCTAAAACTTAAGTGGCTAAAAAACCAATAATTTTATTACATCACAGATTTTGTGGGTCAGGGAATTCTGACAGGGCCCAGCCAGGTGATCCTTCTGTTCCAGGTGGTATTCTGCTAACAGTCTGCAGGCTCCACTCACCCCTCTGCACCTTGACAGATGTATAGAAGGCTGAACTCTGCTGGGACTGTTATCTGGCTTCTCCAGCAAAACAGTCTCAGGGTATTCAGACTTATGTGGCAGGGCTTCCAGAGAAAGTGTTCTGAAGGACAGAAGGTAGAAGTTTCCAGGTCCCAGAAATTGCCACAACATCACTTCTGCCATATTCTGTTGATCCAATTACATCACCTGCCTATGTAGTAAAGAATATATAGCCATCTTTAATCCATCACAGAGGTTATTCACTAAACATTTAATAGAAGATGTAATAAGGACCAGGCTCAGTATAAGACTCTGGGAATACAGAGGAAAGTTAACACACTCCTGTAGCCTAGAGGCAAAGCCAGTATGTTGTGTAGTTCCTATTTACAAGCTTTCAGTAATTCTCCAACACAACTTGTCAGCAAAACCTAGAATAAATTTTAGAAACAGAGAATTTAAATGAAAAAGAGAGAAAATTTACTGTCTAATAGTCTCCAGTTGCTTGTAATTCAAATGTCTGTTTATCTAACAACACCTGGCATGCAAATAAATCGTGATGTGGCATTGAAGCTTGAAGTGTTAGAGGGCAAAATAAATGGCAAAGA